GCGGGCAGGGGGCGCTCGGGCCGGGTGCTCCCGGGCCGGCCCAGCGCCCCTTCTCCGCGGCCCGAGGAACGCGCGCGGGCCGCGAGGCCCCAATCCGGAGGGGGCCGGCGACGTGCGCGGCTGTGACGTTGCCCTACCCCGGGCCCCGCCGGCTGTGCGGACGCCCCCACGGTGGCAGCAAGTGGAGCGGGTTTCTGGTCCCTGTGTGGCAGCTGCGGGGTGTGATGGGGGGTGTCAGCCCGCGGCGGTGCCCGAAGTGACCCCCGCCCCTGGCTCCGGGTGGGGCCGCAGCTCCCGTGGTCCCGACTCGTGGCTTCCCAGCCCTTTCCGTGCCCGGCTTCTCAGTCATGGCCACACATTTTACAGCCGGGGCCTAGGGCCACACATTTGTCGGGTGCAATGGTATAGCGTAGAAGTAGGTGCTGCGGCCTTGCAGCCGACACACCTGAGTGCACACCTGCTCCTCCAGTACCTGCTGTGTGACCTTGGGCACACCGGGTCCCCTCCCTGAGCCTCTGGTGCGACTGCGGCGCCTACCTCTCACGGTCGCTGTGAAGACTGAGTTGGAATTGTGTTCAGGGAAAGACAGCCAGTGCTCCTCAAGGAGCTGTTATTACTATTGTTGTTGCTGTCAAGTGGCTCTTTTCTGTGGCTGGGGGAGCAAGTGTTGCTGGGTAAGGACTGTTTGGTTGATCGAGGTGGGCCCAGGGCAGGGGGAGGCTGCTTTCTGCACTGAGGTTTTCCCCTTCTGTGCATCTCTCCTTTTGCACACGGAAGGCTACACCCAACCCAGCTGTACCAGCATGTGCCAGAGACACGCTGGCCGATTGTGTATTCTCCGCGCTACAACATCACCTTCATGGGCCTGGAGAAGCTGCACCCCTTTGACGCAGGGAAATGGGGCAAAGTGATCAATTTCCTAAAAGGTATGGAAGGCCCCTCTCAGACTTTACATCTGCTTCCTCCGACCCACTTGTCCTCCCTATGCTCATCCCCAGCATAAGCTTCAGGCTCTCCTGCCTCTAGTTTCAGCCCTCAGACTGCCTTTCACCCATGCTGTAAAAAGGCTCTTTCCAATGCAGACTTCCAGGCATGATATGTCCCTGTCTCCAACTCTCCCATCGCTGTGGACTTAAGTCCTGCCTCTGACCCCAGACACCCAGTAGAAGGGGAGCTGGTTAATGGACACAGGGAAGCTGAAGTTTAGAGGAATCCAGTGTCCATTCCCTGAAATTCAGAGAGTCCAGGAAGTGGAGAACCTTTGCTCCAACCCCTTGGATTACAGATGGGGGAAACTGGGCCCAGAAAGGTTAGGAAACATGCCCATAGTCACATAGTTACTAGGTGGCAGAGTGGGGTTTGGAACTCAGAGCTCCAGGCTCCCCAGCTTCACAGCTCATCCCATTGGGCAAGGTGATGCTCTGGGGGGCACATCGTTTTAACGAGGGCCTGATTTTTGTGGGAAATTCAGGCATCACAATAGGCTGGAGTGTGAATATTCTTGTTCCCTGTATCAGGGGTTCTTTAATTGAGGGAAGTAGGAAATGTTACCTGGCATAGATGAAGATTGGATATTTTTAAATCACCCAATACTTCTGATCGCACCATTGAGAAAGTTTCACTTTGGAGCAAGCCCACCTTTAACACCTAAGCCATCTCCCTTTTTACCAGCAAGCCTCAGAGTGTGTCTTACAGAATATAGGATCAAATTAGAGATTAATAACACTGCTTGTTTCCATTGTATTTGCTTTTTATTTTTGGTTAACTCCTATTTATGCAAGGGATGCTGATTTTCCATTTGCTCTAGTGAGCAGAGCAAGCATTCAAGGAGCACACTTAAGTAGAAACGAGCACAGGTTGTGTGCAGCGATGGCGGGAACCCTGGCGAGGGGTGGAGCCCGCCTCGCACCTTGCGCTTCTGTGGCTTCCTAAATACGGTCTGGTCCTCATGCTCTGCTTCCAGCAGACCCAGATGGAGCCGCGCTCCCCATTGCCCAGTAGCTCGACAGAAGGACTTCTTGTTTCCCTCAGCTCAGAGCCCACAGCTGGCCTGAGTTCCCTCCTCTCTCCTCTGAGGGTGAGGATGGGAGGCAGGGGCCACGTGGTGAAGGCTTTGGGTGCTGTGGTAAGAAGGGAGCTGGACCTTTGTCTGAAGACAGTGGAGGCCATGGAACGTTCTGGGACGGGAGAACCTGCCTGGAGATGTATATTTAAAGTGTGTGGAACTTGTTTCTAAGGGGGACTTATTGAAACAGCCCCTAGACGCTGATTTTTGTAGACCCAGAGCATCATGGTGTGGTCCTCACAATGCCCTAGGGCACTTCCTGCTTCAGTTTCTTCTTTTGCTAAATGGAGTGAATCTTGTCTGGTGTGTGTAAGGGGTGACAAAATAATAGTGTTTCCCAAGCATGGGCCAGTTGCAAAACACTCTTTGGACCTTGTTGTCTCCTCATACCACCTCCTCCATTATTTACTTCATATTTTTAATGACTTAGTCGCTGTTAAAAAAAAAGTGTGTAAGGGGTGACAAAATAATAGTGTTTCCCAAGCATGGGCCAGTTGCAAAACACTCTTGGGACCTTGTTGTCTCCTCATACCACCTGCTCCATTATTTACTTCATATTTTTAATGACTTAGTCGCTGTTAAAAAAAAACAAAACAAAACACTTGTTTTAAAAGGAAACATTATGTCATCTAAATGAGAAAAGGCAGTTTCATTTGCCATAAATAGAAGGTCATGGTAAAAAATAAATGCAATGAAAACAACAGTGTGATTCAGTTCAGGCTGGTCACTGTTGCCTGCAGGCTGTGACACAGATTGGTGCTCTGTTTTGGTTGAAAAGGGAGATGAGCAAGAGCCAGGCAAGTGTTGGTGAAGTCATCTGAAGGTGGAGGGAGATTTGCTGAGAGCTTTTCTCACCTCAAGAGTCATCATTGACCTTGTGTCACCTGCCACTGAAAGTTGTCCAGGCACACCTGAGCTCACCCCAAGGCTATCTGTGGCTTGGGAAACATGGGATCACCGTATGCACAATGTTCAGTGTCCCGTGGCCAGAGGGGCTGGCCATTGTCCACAGTGACCTCTGAGGTAGCCTGTTCTTGTCCACAAGCCAGAAGTGCCCACCTCCTCCTGGGGCAGGGGCTGCCAGTGGCCGACTCTGCATCCTGTAGGAGGGTCTGGGGCTGGGTCTGGCCTTGAGGTCAGCATGGAAGCAGGACGCGCACTTTGTGCTTTCAGAAGAGAAGCTTCTGTCCGACAGTATGCTGGTGGAGGCGCGGGAGGCCTCGGAGGAGGACCTGCTGGTGGTGCACACGAGGCGCTACCTCAACCAGCTAAAGGTACAGGACTGTGGGCCTGGGGGTTGCTGGCCAGGAGGGGTGGCCAGAGGATGGGGTAAGCACAGCCTCAAGGGTCACCCATCCCTGTCCCTAGTGCAGGGGGATCATGTGAGTCAGTGGTCCCAAGAGAAAGAGAGGTCATAGACATCAGGGGTGGTCTAGGCTCCCTGTCTCTAGGGGGAATGAAAGAAGGGATGTCAGCTGGTGGAGATTGAGCCTTCAGAGGGATTTTGGGCTGCTACATTAGTCACTTTCAATCTGTGCTCTGTGGATAGACTTCAGAGACCCCTGCTGGGATAATTAGAGGAGAGAGGATCTCAGCCCCCTTTCCCCATCCAACCAAAGCTCTTCCACTTTAGTCTGCTTTTATAGTGTGCTGAAGTTTAGGATTTTGTTCCAAGGACTTCTGCTAAAGACTTATTGAAAGCTGTTGGGCTGTGAACTAGATTGAAAGCCTCCCCACCCCACTAGCTTGGGTCCAGCAGGGAACATAAATGAATAGAACGGCAGGTGGTGGTGTCCGGGGTGAATAGGACAACTCCTGCCCCTTCCCAAGTGGTGGCTGCCACGCAGCTCCACTATGGGCCCCGCATGAGCAGAGTGCCTGGTTTTCAAAGAGAAGCCAGAAATCCAGGTTATTAAGTGTCATTCCCTGATTTCTTAATGTGGCAACTCGTTTTAAGATTTTTAACTCCCACCTGCAGGCTGAACTGGGCCCATGGCTACCGGCCGTGACCTCTTTCTAGAGGAGCCAGAGAGCTCCAATCGGTGGCTTTGGTTCTGTGAGCTGACGCGTTCAGTCAGTCCCCTATGTGGGAGCAGAGGGGAGGCTGGGGCCGGGGTTGGGGATGCTACACATTCTGTGTCCCAAGAGTGTGGGAGCTCTGGCCCCCAGGCTTCCTGGCTGGACTCACTTTAGACTCAGACCCACAGTAGATGCCAGAGGTCAGCAGGCCCCTCTGCTCTATGGAAAAGCCTAGGATCAGAAAGAGGCTTTCTCAGGTCTCCTGGGAAGTTGGCTGGGGCCTGGGGGAGACCCCGGCAGGGCATCTAGGCCTGTCTTCCAGGTTCCCGGTCACGGTTGCTGCCTTCCCTCCTCCCTCACCTCAGCCTGACTTGTGAGAATTCTAGATGGGGCTGCGACAGTGCGAGCTCATGAAAGATTACCAGGAAGAGGTTGAAACCTGACTCCTGGGAGAGAGGTGTGTGAGGCCTTGGCAGGAAGCCCAGCACTAGGCTGCCCTGGTTTCCTGGCACCAGGCATGTGTGGTCACAGTCCGCAGCCCAGGGGCTGGGTCAGGAGGACATGTCTCCTGGAGTCCAGAGGGTGAGGGGAAGGCCAGGACAGTAGGCACTGAGTTGGGGTGTGGAGAGGCCAGAACGGAGTGGAGGCAAGGCAGGGTGAATGGGCCAGAATAAGACTGGGGATGGGAGATAGGCTCCAGGGACCCAGACATTTGAGGGGCCTCCAGGGGAACTGTGTCTGGCAGGCTGCATGCTTGGCCTTGGTCCCCCAAAACCTGAAAGCAGTTCAGTATGTGATAAATGATAATAGCAAGTAGAAAACAGGTCAAGAGCAGGAGGATTCAGATATGTCAACTGAAAGGGTTAACCAAGATGATGCTCGAGCTGCATATCTGTCCTGGAGCTCCCTTGGAGAGCTTGGAGCAGCCAGAGCAAAAGGAGAAATATGGTGATTTCTGTAGCACCTGCTAAGGTGGAAAAGCAGTAGGTCAGTACATCTGTACTGAGTGCCAGCTGTGTGCTGAGTACGAAGAGAAGAGTCAGACAGCAAGGTTCCCTGCCCCATGGAGTTGCGTTTTAGATGTGGGAGACTGAAAATGAAGTAGCCACGCAAGGGCATTTCAGAGAGTGACAAGGACAATGGAGAAATTGGAAAGTAGAGGGTAACTCAGCAGAGGTGGCTCACTGAGACTAGGTGGCCAGGGAGAGTCTCTCAGAGGAGGTGAGGTTTGAGACTAAAGAGAGGAGCAGGTGGCATTCGTGGAGCTTTGCAGGAACAAAGTTCCAGTGTCACAGGTGTGGATGGGGAGGGGACTTGGCCTCTCAAAGGAGAGAAGGATGCATGAGTGGCCAGACGGAAGGGAACAGAACACTGTGCTGGTTCACACTGTGGTCAGGGAGACCACACAGGGTCTCATAGGCTATGGGCAGGGTGTGGATTTTGTTCTGGGGACCATGGGCAGTCATGAGAGGGTTTTGAGCAGGAGAGTAAAGTGGTGTGGACAGTGATGTGTGATGTGCCCTTGCTGCTCAGGTGAGACCCACAGGCATCGTCTGGACCTGGGGGCTGCAGCTCAGGAACCTCCCCCAGGTTTTCTACCCCAGATGTCTGCCATTTCTTTCTCTTTCCTCTGCTGTGGGCACCCAGGGCAGTGCCCTGGAGAGTTTGCACAGGTTTCCCAGGGCTGCTTTTCCTTGGCTGTTCTGTGTGAGCTGGGTGACATCACCCTGTCTCCTACCTTGTTCACCTCTGCCCCCCCATCCCTGTTCTGAAGCTCATGCCTGGCCCTGTGCTCATGTGGCCTTCGATGCTTAATAAACAGGGTACTGAAGGAGAAGTGGTAGTCTGCTGTTTGCAATATGATGTCAGTTCAGGGAAACAAATACTTTTTGAGCACCTACTGTATGCAAGGCCCAGAGCTGGCCCCACTGAGGGTGGTGGTGGGGTTGGGCCAGCTCCAGACTCTTGCCTTCTGCTGACCCCAGTGATAGTTTGCAGGTCAGTATTGTGGAGCATCTGACATCTTGTCCCTGTGACCCTGTGCTGGGCAGTGCTGGGGACACAGCTATCCAGCAAGTACTTAGCATCATGCTCTGTTCTAGGTGCTGTGGTGATGGGGTGGAACAAACGAGATCAAATCCCTTTCCTTGCAGAGCTGGCATTTAGGTGGGGTAGTCAGACAATAAACATAGTAATTAAGTCAGTGATACAGTATCTTGGCAGGTGCTAAGCACAGTGAGGAAAGAAAGGGGCAGCAGGAAAGGGGGTGGAGAGAGCTGGGGGGAGGATGGCAGTTTTAGATTGGGAGTCAGAAAAGGGCTTGCTGATGTGTGATCAAAAGTGACACATGATCACAGACTGGGTGGGTGTGAGGGGTGGGCGATGCGGCATCCACGGGAGGGCCTTCCAAGCAAAAGCAACAGCAAGTGCAAGGGCCATGAGGCAGGCATATCTCCAGTGAGTTCCAGTGGCAACATGGGAGAGAGGGAGACACAGGTCTCAGCATCATGTCAACTGGAGGGCTGAGGTCCCTGGCAGAGTCTCTGCGGGATTGAGGTCTCATGGTCTCTGACTCTCTCTCTTACTTGTTTCTTCTTCCTTGACGGGCCCCCTCTCCTGTTTTTTTACTGTAGTAAAATTCACCTAACATAAAATTAACCATTAACCATTTTCAAAGTGTACAATTCCGTAGCATGTAGTCCTTCACAATGTCCATTCACCATCGTCTCTAGTTCCAAGACATTTTCATCATCCCAAGAGGAAACCTGGTTCCCATTAAGCAGTTGCTCCCATATCTTTCCTCCCCCTGCTCCTGGCAATTACCAGACTGCATTCTGACCCTGTGGATTTGCCTATTCTGGATGTTTCATATAAATGGAATCACACACAATAAGTGTGTGATTAACTTATTGTGTGTGATTCCATTTATGTCCTTTTGTGTCTGGCCTATCACTCAGTGTAATGTTTTCAGGGCTCATCCACTTTGTAGCATGTATCAGTAGTTAATTCCTTTTCATGGCTGAGTAGTATTCCATTTTATGGACATACCACATTCTCTTTATCCATTCATTAGTTTATGGACATTTTAGTTGTATGCGTCTTTTGGCTAATTGTGAATAGTGTTGCTATGGATGGTACTTTTTCTCATTTATTTGGGGTATGTACCCAGGAGTGAAACTGCTGGGTCACGTGGTAATTTTGTGTTTAACTTTCTGAAGAACCATCAAAATGATTTCCACAAAGCCCACACCATTTACACCAGCAGTGTACCAGGGTTCCTATTTTCCCACATTCTTGTCAATGCTTGTTATTTTCTTTTTTCTTTAAAATTTTTTTTTTTTATTGTGGCCAACTTAGTGTTAAGTTGTATCTCATGGTTTTGATTTGTATTTCCCTGGTAGCTAATGACATTGAGCATCTTTTCATGTGCTTGTTGGCTATTTGTATGTCTTCTTGGAGTAATGTCTATTCAAGTCCTCTGTCCACTTTTTAAAATTGGGTTGTCTTTTTGTTGTTGAGATGTAGGAGTTCTTTATATATTATGGATGTTTGATTTGCAAATGTCTTCTCCTGTTCTGTGGGTTGCCTTTTTCACTTTTTTGATAGTGTCTTTTGATGCACAAAAATTTTTAATTTTGCTGAAGTCTAATTTATCTATTTTTTTCTTTTGTTGCTCACACTTTTAGTATCATATCTAAGAATCCATTTCCAAATCCACAGTCATGAAGATTTACCCCTGTGTGTTTTCTTCCAAGAGTTTTATAGATTTAGTTTACATTTAGGTCTTGATAAACTTTGAGATAATTTTTGTCTATGGTGTGATGTAGGAGTCCAACTTTATTCTTTTCCATGTGGATGTCTAGTTCTCTCAGCACCATTTGTTAAAGAGATTGTTTTTTTTCCACCCCTATTGAATGGTCTTAGTACCCTTGCAGAAAAGCAACTGGCATAAATGTATGGCTTTACTTCTGGACTGTTTTATTCTATTCATTTGATCTATATGTCTATTCTCAAATCAAAACTAAACTATTTTGATTACTGTTGCTTTGTAAGTTTTAAAATTTGGAATTGTCAGTCCTCCAACTTTATTCTTCATTTTTGAGATTGTTTTGGTTATTCAGGGTCCCATGAAATTCCATATGAATTATGGGATTAACTACTTTGTTGTTTGCAAAAGAGACCATTTGGGTTTTGACAGGGATTGCATCAAATCTGTATATTGCTTTGGGGAGTATTGCCATCTTAACAATTTTAGGCCTTCCACTCCATGAACATGGGATGTCTTTCCATTTATTTAGGTCATCTTTAATTTCTTTCAGCAATGTTTTGTAGTTTTCTGTAGACAAATCTTGCACCCCTTTGTTAAATTTTATTTCTAAGGGTTTTATTCTTTTTGATGCTGTTATAGATGGAATTGTTTTCTTAATTTCCTTTCCAGGTTGTTTATTGATGGCATATAGGAATGCAGCTGATTCTTGTCTGTTGATCTTATATCCTGCAACTTTGCTGAATTTGTTTCTTCTTTAATAGTTGTGTGTGTGTGTGTGTGTGTTCTTTAGGATCTTCTATATATAACATTATGCCATCTGTAAATAGAGATCATTTTACATTTTCCTTTCCAATTTCATTTCTCATTTCTTTTTCTTTCCTAATTGCTCTGGCTGGAACTTATAGTACGATGTTGAATAGAAGTGACAGAACAGGCGTCTTTGTCTTGGTCCTGATCTTAGGTGGAAAGCTTTTATTGCTACTGATTATGATGTTAGCTGTGGGGGTTTTTTTACATTGTATATTGATGCCCTTTATCATGTTAAGGGAATTCCCTCTGTTCCTAGTTTGTTGAATGATTTCATCATGGAAGGATATTGGATTTTGCCAAAGGCTTTTTGTGTATCAACTGAGAGCATGTGTTTTCCCTTCTCTCCTTTTGCTCCCCCTCCTGCTGGTGGAAAGGACTCACCCAAAGCAAGCAGCGGGGCCTCTGAAGAGGGATGCAGCCAATCTCTTTCCTTAGAACAGTCCTTGGTTTGAGTCTCCAGGGGTAGGAGGTCCACTTGAGGAACTCAGGCAGCTGGAGGGTGGAGGCTTGTGGAACTGAGTGGGTGGGGCAGTAGTCAGAGGTGTTGCCAGCCCCAGGCCTGTCCTGCTATCTGTGGGGTCCCTCGAAGGCTGACTAGGGGTGGGGGTCCTGACACCTGGCCAGGCCCAAGTGGACAGTGGCATCAGGCTGGAGTAAACCTCCTATGTTCATGTAGCGCATTCATTCATTCAGCACTGTCCTAATTTCCCTAGAGCAGTAATTCTCAAACTTGAGCAAGCATCGGAATCACCTGGAGGGATTGTTACAGCAGACTGACTGCTGGCCCTGCTTTATAGTTGCTGATTGAGGATGTCTGGGGTGGGGACTGAGAATCCGCATTTCTAACACATTCTCAAGTGATGCAGATGCTGCTGGTCCAGGAACCACACTTGGCGAATACAGCCCTGGGAGCAGCGCCTGAGGTGGGGACCCAGGTGCAAGTGATTTCAGGTGAAACCTGTGAGAGAGGTTTCTCAGGTGGGAGAGGGCAGGGGAAGGAGCTGGGCACAGATGTGGGGTCAGAAGTGTGGCCTCAGCCTGACCCCATGGGTAGCTCTGGGGAGCAAATGTCACCATGGGGTTGCCCCAACTCAGAAGCAGATGGCCAGGCTGCTATAGCTCCTTAGCAGTCAGTCGTTGTTCTGGCTCTCCTGGGCTCGTGCAGGTGACGTGGCCTCCAGCAGGGGAAGGAAGCAGGCAGGGCTGTGGGGGCATCAGCCAGAAAAGGGGGTCAGTAGCCTATGCTGTGAGTGCCTGCTGTGTGCCAGGCATTGTCCTTAGCATAGTCTGTGCCCAGTGAACAAAACCACGTGCCTGCCCTCGTGGAGCTGGCATCCTTTTGGGGGAGACAGATACTGATCGAGACATACTGTGGCTTCAGATAGAGACAAGTGCTGTGTGGAGAGGTGAAGCAGAGGCAGGGGGTTGAGGGGGCCCAGATGGGGGTATCTTAGATTGGACAGCGAGGACAGGCCTCTCTGATAGGTTTCCATGTCCAAGCTCTTATTTGAGGCCCTGTCTTAGAGATGACGAGGCAGAGGTGCAGAGGAGTAAAGGGCTGTGTCCTAATCTGGCTGCCTGTGGCAGACCCGGAGTTGGGCCAGTTTGACTCTGAGGAGGATTTCTGGGCCCCATCCCTACTCCACTGCCATCCAGCCCATTCCCTACTGCCTTGGCCAAGTGAAATTATCAGAGGGCCCAGCCCGCCGGGTGGATCCCACCTAAGCCTGCTCTGCATCCCAGATAAAGACTCTGTCCCTCCCTGCCCACCCTGTCCACGCCAGACCTCTCCAGCAGGGCTCCCTTACTGGCTGCCTCTGGAAGTGCCTTGGTGGTGCTGTGTTGTGCTGGCATTCTGTTGATCACCCCTGCTATTAGCCAGTAAGTGGATCTCCAGGTGTCAACCAGGGATGCCTGTGCCCTCCCCCCACACTTGCACCTGTCACCTCCACTGACCACACAGCCTGCCCTGGCCAAGCCCCTTCTCTCTCCTCCCGTCACCCCTGGGAGTCAGCCACCAGTCTGCCCACCCCCTGCACTCATTTTCCACCCCGGCCACCGAAGGACAGGTTTTCCTCGAGCAGCGCTGTCCAACAGAACTTTCTGCAGTGAGGGAGATGTTCCAGATCTGCTCTGTCGAACACAGTAGCCACTCGCCACATGTGGCTGCTGAGCACTTGAAATACGTCCAGTGTGACCAAGGAACAAAACTCCAATTTTTAAAAATTTTAATCAATTAAAAATTATACATGAGTAGCCCACCTGTGGCTGGCAGCTGCCGGATAGGCTAGCACAGGTCTACGGCATCAGTAGACCCCACCACTGCCTGGCGCAGAGACTGCCACGGAGCCAGGGAGAAGGCCCAGGTGCCCAGCCGCCTCTAGAATGACTGGCTCTGCCCCTCCCACAGCACTCATGGCCCAGGAGCTATGGCATGGCAAACACTTGCCTTCTCCTCCGGGGGCCAAGGAGCCTTGCTGAGTCATACATGCTTCTGGGCGACTTCATGCTTGGGCCCTGTAAAATTCAGGCTCTAGCTTAGAGGTTCCCAGGTGTGTCCACTCAACTGCAACCTTGTGGGAGGTTAGTACGTGTTATATAAAAGCAAAGGGGCAGGCAGGGGTTTGTGGTTGGAAAGCGTGGGAAACACTGGGTGAAGCAAGGTGAAATTATTTGCTGCAGAACTTCCCAGAGCCTGTAACATGCCAGAGTGTGTTGTGAATTTCCAAGAGGTGGACCACATAGCATTGTTTCCCAAACTTATTTGAAGTGTGGAAGCTTTTCTCAGTGGGATACCCTGACAGGCCAGCTGCTTCCACAGCACTTGCAGAAATACTGTTCTCTTTTTTGGTGACCTTGCAGGAGGCTGGGACATGGCTTCGTTCCTTTCAGCTCTCTGCCCTGCTAGCTCATCTAGTGAGGGAGGGACCCTCCAGGTGGTGACACCGTCACCCTCACAGGCCTGACACCTGGGCCTCCTCCCGGGCCCCTCCTCCCCCGTCCCCCCACAATGCTGCCTGTTAACACCTCCCCTTCTCCCTCCCCCAGACCCTCATCATCTCTGCCTTCCTCCTGGGGCTGCCGCTTCCTTTCTTGTTTCCCCTAATCAGTTTTCCTTTCTGCAGCTAGTGCAGCTTGGGACAGCATCGCCTCTGGCTCCCTACTGCTCTGACAACAGTGTGTGAGCCTGTGCTAGCAGACTAGGCCCTTTGTGCTAAGTGCCCCAGCCCTGTCCCAGCCGCACCTGCCTTGATCATGGGCTCACTTCTCTGCCCACAGTTGCCTTTCTACCTTTACACCTGCATCTGGATAACTACTGTTCACTGGTCACCTCCTGCAGCTGTCATCTCCACAAAACCTCCTTGCCCCGCCCTGTGACCCATTTCTTCTGCATTGCAACACTGTCGCACTGCATGTAAGCCCCTGTTGACTTATTCACCTTGCAGTAGGCTGCAAGTGTCCTGGCAAGAGGACAGGATCCCCAGTGCCCACCTTGGGGTTGAGCAGACACTAACTAAATATTTACAAAGTGAGTGACTCTCCTCTGGGCATCGTGTGCTCAGGCCACTCTCAGGGAAGCAGGAGAATGGCCCAGACACAATCTCAGCCAGGCAGGAACTGGTTCAGGGTTTGGGTGCAGCTGGGTGTGACACTTGCTCTGGGGACTTGGAGGTCACAGAGCGTGCTCTACCTTGGTCTTGATGCAAATGCTTCTTGGGTACCCTTAGCCCTCCTGCCTCAGCAGCCGGAGATGAGGGCAGGGTGCCCCTTTTGCAGAGAGGTCTCATTCCCAGTGGAGAAGAAGCCATGCACTGCAGGGGAGGAAGGAGCCAGGGCTTCCGATCCTGGCTCTGTCAGTGATTCACTGTGGGCCTGGAGCCTCAGTGTCCCCTTCTGTACAATGGGTGGGCTAAACCAGTTTTCTCAGAGCCCTCCTAGTTCTGCATGGCTGTGACTCGGAGCCCTCTGCAGCTCTTGTTCTGGCCACAGGAGGGCGGCCAAGGGCTTCGGAGCGCAGAGGAATCTGGTCTCATTCACTTTAAGAAAACATGCGGCGTAAACTGTTGTTCACTGAGCCCGAAGCTTGGTGGGGGCCAGATAGGGTTGCAGCTCTCACTTCTTGCCAGAGGAAGTACACTTGACCAGGGAGTCCATCCAAGGGCACCTTGAAACCATCCTCAAGGCACTGAGGCGGAATCTGATTTCCCACTGCTTGTCTCTTCCGCAGTGGTCCTTTGCTGTCGCCACCATCACAGAAATTCCCCCTGTTGTCTTCCTCCCCAACTTCCTGGTGCAGAGGAAGGTGCTGAGGCCCCTTCGGACCCAGACGGGAGGAACCATAATGGTAGGTGGGGAGGGGGAGGCACGGCTGGGCTGGCGTGGGCTCCTCCTCACCTCCTTTGTCCTGGAATGCCCTCCCCCATTTAGGAGTTGAAGATAATCCTAAATATCCCTCAGGGCCCAGTAACAATGACTCTCTCCAAAAGCCTTTTCATCTTTGACATTAGAGCTCATTGTTCCTTCCCCTGTGACCTCCTGCGAGAGTTACCGTATTTGCTGGCATACGAGATATATCTCCATCCCCAAAAGATTATGTCCTAAAACTATGGCTCTAATGCTTTCGAATTTAAGATAGAAAAGTGAACTAATGGTAGGTGGGGAGGGGGAGGCACGGCTGGGCTGGCGTGGGCTCCTCCTCACCTCCTTTGCCCTGGAATGCCCTCCCCCATTTAGGAGTTGAAGATAATCCTAAATATCCCTCAGGGCCCAGTAACAATGACTCTTTCCAAAAGCCTTTTCATCTTCGACATTAGAGCTCATTGTTCCTTCCCCTGTGACCTCCTGCGAGAGTTACCGTATTTGCTGGCATACGAGATATATCTCCATCCCAAAAAGATTATGTCCTAAAACTATGGCTCTAATGCTTTCGAATTTAAGATAGAAAAGTGAACCTTCGTGACTTCAAAGATGGATAATGCTCTACCCTCACCCCCATCATGGGTGTGGCAAGAAAGAACATTGGCAGCAAAATTAGGTTTTACATACTGTTTTTCTTAAAAAAATTAGTTTTCTTAAAAAATTAGCCACAGACTGCGGAGGTGATTGGAAGTAGAAGCACATTTCACATGTAAGTGTGTGAAGAGCTAACCCAGCCCTCCTGGGTCAGTACCATACCTACAGTTTTCTTTTTAGCTTTGCAAATTTGTACACTTAATTTTATTTTATCTTAGTCAGATATTACCACCCAACCCAAAACTATGATTTCCTACAGGATTTCACCATTCAGGCTACCATATTTCTGTGAGCAGAAAATTGTCTATTTCCCTTTGAAAGCCACATTAAGATCATCATCAGCTCACATGTGATGATACGTACTTTATTTCTTCCAGTCTCCTTGTACAGTGTGCAAGGGACCTGCTCATACTCCAGTCCGTCTGGAACTTGCTTCCTGGACTGCGTTTGCTTGGGGGGTGCTTGCACCCACACCTTGTAGTTTATGCCCCTGCAGAGCTGGCTGGAGACCGTGTTTATGGAATGAGTGAGTGGGTCAGGGAATGAGTGAGTGAGTGAAGGAGTTGACTGCCCGCACCCCTCACCCTCTGCTTGTTTCTAAAGGCGGGGAAGCTGGCCGTGGAGCGAGGCTGGGCCATCAATGTTGGTGAGTGCCTGGGCCTCAGGACTGTCCGGCCTGGCCTGGTGGTGCTGTCCTGAAGGGGGCTGGGGGCAGGACAGGAGGACCCTGGAGGCATGGCGTGAATTAGAGGTGCTGGTGCCCCCATGGCCATGCTGAGCCTCCTTGTGGAGTGGTCTGGAGGTGGGCGTGCGGCCTCTTGGTACCTGGGCAGGGTGGGCATTGCCTTCATTCGCTATGGGATCCTTGTCTAAAGAGTTCTCCAGGTGGCTCTACGGACCACCTTTGCATGTTTCCAGTGACAGGGAGTTCCCTCTTTCCCAGAGAGCCTACTCCATCCCCTGGGCAGCTCTGCGTGGAACTGAAACCTGTCTTCATGCGGCTCTCCTGAAAGCCTGCTCTGTCTCCTGGGCCCAGGGTAGCCTGAAGGGGCTTGGTCATGTCATGGTGGGTGGACAGGCCCAGGGTCAAGACCACCTCCTCCTCAGGGATCCTGAGGCCAGGCGCTTCCCAGCCTCCTGGGAGGGCCACACACATCAGTCTTCCCTGTCCCTGTCAGATATTGTCCCTCATGGAGGCACTGCACTTGACAGTTTGCAAAGCCCTTTCCCATCCGACCTCTCACTTGAGCTAATTGTCATCAGGCCCATTCCACCGACAAGGTAATAGACATTGAGAGATGCCCAGTTGATTGCTCAGAGACCCATAGCAGGGACCCCCACGCCTTTGGCTGTGAGCTCTGCAGGGCCAGGGGCTGGTCTCTTCCATCTTGGTATCCGCAGGTGCCCAGCATTGGGTTTGGCATAGCCATGAACTTAGGGTACTCTGCTGCACAAACAGATGAGGGATTCATGCCATGGGCATCTACAAGGTTCCAAGGGGGGCCCAGATGCCCTTCCCCACAGAAGGTGTTATGGTCTGATGGAGCTTAAGAGGCCTGGGCCTGATCCAGCCTGGGTTTGAATCCTGGTTCTGCCATTAGCTAGCTGTGTGATCCTGGGTAAGTTGCTGACCCTCTCTGTGCCTCAGTCTTCTCATCTGTAAAATGGGGATGATGATGATAATGTCCACTCCTAGGTCTGTAGGGAGGCTTCAACAAGCTTAGTGCCTGATTAGGAGTTCAGTGTTGGCTGTTATCTCATGGTTATGATCCGATGACGGCCCCCTGGGTGGTGGAAGAGGCAAGGGGAGGGATCTCTCCGAGTCCTGGGACTGTCTCAGGATTGGGAGGTGGACGGGCCCTGGTCTCCAGGCTGCCCCCCTCATACATACCACAGGCAGCTGTTACCATGACAGGGTGCCCTTCCTGACCATCCATTTCTACCACCTGCAGAATCTGGGTGGTTCCAAGAAAAGCCAGTCCCCCCACACCACCACCCTTCCTGGTGTGGTGGCAGGCCCAGTCCTGTGGGTGCAGGGAGCAGCTTTCTGCCTTGGGAAGGATGAGCTGCCTGTCACTTGGGGGCGTGAGCGGGTGCTGAGGGCTGACTTGCCAGGGACATCTGGAGAGGGGCCCCTTGCTCTGGCAGGGGTGGCCATGATGACAGACATGCCTCCTGTCCTGGGGATAGTGATGCGCTCTGGTGCTCAGTTCACTCTGCTAAGCTGGAATTTAAGCAGTGGTCCCTGGGAGATGAGCCAGGAGGGGACGGTGGGTGACAGAGGGATGGGGGGTTGCCTGGGCCGAGCCCTTGAGCCTGGCCCTGGCCATCATGCTGTCTGCTCTTCTGCAGGAGGCGGCTTCCACCACTGCTCCAGCGACCGGGGCGGGGGCTTCTGCGCCTACGCAGACATCACACTCGCCATCAAGGTGTGTCCACAAGCATTGGGGAAGCTTGCCTCCCAGAGCCCTCCCTGGAATCCTGCCCACAGCCCCAAATTTGGGATTGTCACCCACATTATAGAGAAGGGAACGAGGCTCAGAGCAGGGAGGGGGTTTGCCTGGGTTGCTGTGCCAGGCTGGGACTTGAACCAAGAGCTGACGCCATCTCTTCCTTCCCCTGTGTTGCTTAGAATGGTTGCCTGTGATGGAAGGGAGCTATCGTAGCCTTGCACAGCGCCAGGGCAGACGCAGCAGCATGAGGCTGTGGGAGGAAGGACAGTGCTGTGGAGCGCAGGGAGGGGAGCAGGCAGGAGGATGTGATGAGGGCACAGCTGTGTGGGGCATGCTTGGCCCCTGCTGGCCTTGGCTTGCCTCACTGTATCCGCAGATGGGGAGACCGGGGACCATGGCAAGGAGGGTCAGCTAGAAGATGCCAAGCTGGTGTTGGCCATAAGGTCTGCTGGACCCCAGAGCTCCCCCAATCACTCTGCGCCGGCCTTCTGCCGGGTGCCAGGAACTGGCCAAAGTAGTCCCTGTTCTTAC